GTGCACATTATTTAATTGAGAAATCACATAGATTAAAATTATTTTCCCAAACCGTAACAATCATTGTAGAGATACAAATAAAATAATATTAGTATGGGGCAGCAGATACTCTGATCATTTAGTCATGGTGCGGGGCGGACCGGGGTCCCGCCGCCCGGGGTCCAGGTAATGGTAGCTACCGGCTGGGCGCGCCGCTCGGGACTACTCCCTGCGCCTCGACCCCTCTCTCGCTGCCCGCCGGCCTTCGTCGCACTAGCGCCCCCAGCGGCGCGCAGGCTCCGGGAAGCGCAGCGCGCGCGGACCCCGGGGGCAGTTTCCTAGCAACCGGCGCAGCTGCTACGTCACGGTGGCAGGTTCTAAGCGCTGCCGGGCACCGTAGGGCCGCCGTGTGTATCTTCCAGCATCTGCGGGCTGGTGGAAGCGCTGCTCACAGTCAGTGTCCGTACGTCTTCGTCCGCCATTACCCTCCTTATCCTGCGCCAGGTAGCGGACAGCCGCCTCCCGCCGCGCACCCTCCACTGAGGCCGGGGTCAGAGACTAGGGGCCGCCCGGCCCGCCCCTGCGCGGCCCTTTCCCCTGAGCCCGCGGAGCCCGCCGCCCCGGGCCTCGGGGGAACGATGCTGGAGTCCATTCGCGTGACGGGTGAGTGCAGGGAAGGGCTGGCCGCGGCGGGGGTGCGGGGCGGACCGGGGTCCCGCCGCCCGGGGTCCAGGTAATGGTAGCTACCGGCTGGGCGCGCCGCTCGGGACTCCACCCTGCGTCCCGACCCCTGCGGGGCGCTCAGGAGGCGCTCGCGAAAAGCCTACGAAGGGAAGAGAGAAATCGGCCCCTTTTCCTTTCGTCACTTATTATCAGTAAGTACATGCTGTGGAATCTCGTGAAAAATATTATAATAATAGACCGGTTGCTGGTCCTACAAAGGTACAGTCCAAAGATTGTTAAATCTTATTTTCAAAACACGCTAGGTGTGTGATTAAGCTTCATAATTTTCTAGAATAGTCAGAAAAAATAAGCTAAGTGAAAGAACACATCTGTATTTCAGTATTTATACTGTGTATATTTGTGTGTGTATGCTTTTATTCTTAAACAGTGAGAACATTTTGAGTTGATATTATAATAGGCCATTTTACAGTACAGATTATACCAAGGGTAAAACATGGGTCTTTAAACAGACCCCAGGTCAGAAAGTCTGAAAGTTTACCTGCATTTTTAAAAATTCAGTTCGATCTCTGGGAGCACAGAACTTGACTCTTACTATTTGTAAATCGCTATGCGTGTTAGCCATTAAAAAAAAAAAACCTTACGTAATCTTAGAGTAATTTTCTAGGCCATTTTCCCAGCATTTGATTCTGTACGCAAACATTTTTGCAAGGCAGGGTTTTGACAGTTCAGAATTATGACGAAGAACAACGGAGTAAAGGGAAATACCTACTCCTCAAACTAGTGCCAAAATAAGGCCGGAATTTTAAATTTTAAAACAATGCAGTGCCTAATAGACTATTTTTCTGTGAGCACTCTAACTGAAAAACCAAACCCCTTGCCAGTGAAAACATGATTTTAATTTTATACTGTTTTATTTCATGTTCAATGTTATACAGAGTTGATTTGTGCAGTCATGACATTGCCGCGATGTATCTCATTTATGTTGACAGGAAACATAGTTACAGGAGCTAAGATTGAAAAGGCAACTTTAATTGGCGTTAGAGTTTTTAAAAATGTGATTTGATGTAGATGCTACTTTCGTCCTAAAACACAATTAAAATGTCAAAAGTTACTTAAAAGTACCATACCTCCTAAATATGGAGCAAGGTTTCTCAACCTCAGCACCATTAACTTTGTTGTTGTTGTTTTTGAGACAGAGTCTCGCTCTGTCACCCAGGCTGGAGTGCAAGGGCGCTGTCTCTGCTCACTGCAATCTCCACCTCCCGGGTTCAAGCGATTCTCCTGCCTCGACCTCCCGAGTAACTGGGATTACAGACGCACACCACCACGCCCGGCAAATTTTTGTAGTTTTAGTAGAGACAGGGGTTCACCATGTTGTTCAGGCTGGTCGGAACTCCTGACCTCAGGTGATCCTGCCACCTCGGCTTCCCAAAGTGCTGGGATTACAGGCATGAGCCACTGTGCCCAGCCTAGCACTGTTAACTTTGGACAAGATAATTCTTCCTTGTGGGATGCTGTTCTCTGCCCCGACCCCATAATTGTGACAACTAAAAATCACAATTGGGCAGGGGGGTGGGGGAGGGCAACATCTTCTTCTCCATAGAATCAGTGCCTTGAAGAAAAATGTAGATTTCTGTCACAGTGCACATTATTTAATTGAGAAATCACATAGATTAAAATTATTTTCCCAAACCGTAACAATCATTGTAGAGATACAAATAAAATAATATTAGTATTAGAAAGCAGATACTCTGATCATTTAGTCATGCAGAGTGATCTCTTGATATGTCAACGTGTTGAGTTAGAAGTTTGAGAAGAGATACTTTAGAAAGTAGTAGACCCACTCCTCTTGTCTCATTTCCCTTCCTATAATTTAGTGGCGGTACATTTATCAGTCCAACCCTGTATGTTTGCAAACCCTGAGGTAAATAATTTGGCAGTGAATTTCTATAGTACAATAAAGTTCAAATAGCCATTTGAGACCATTCAGGCCTCTCATTTACGATTCCTTTAAAAATAACTGGGTCATTTTTCAGACTACTTTCTCTCTTATATAGTACTTAACTAGTTGAAATCATTCTAGAGCCCGGTGCCCAGCATTTGACTGTGATATCAGAAAAACCCAATTTGGACAGCCAGAAACTTCATGTAGAGAGTTAAGCTGAAAACATGCCCTCCTCTCCCCTGGTCATTCCCTCACGATTCATTAATATCTAAGATGGCCATGTTCTTCTTTCTGGTTAGCAGAACTTGATTGTGGTAAGAGTACTGATGGAAATGTGTTCATTTTTTTTTTCAGCTCTAAAAGTTGTTACAAATATAGAACAGACTCATTATTTTATATTTCAGGAATGAAGCAATTACTTGTTTCTGAAATCACTTCCTATGTAATATCTTATCCACTTTTGACTTATTAGTATATGCTATCTCTGCTGTTTAAAAATGGAATCAAATCAGAAAAGGTTTTTTTTGACTTCTCATGGCCTTTTAAAGAGGAAGGTTCTCAGGCTGGGTGCAGTGGCTCACACTTGTAATCCCAGCACTTTGTGAGGCAGAGAGTAGATGGATTACCTGAGCTCAGGAGTTCGAGACCAACCTGGGCAACACAGCAAAACCCCATCTCTACAAAAAATTAAAAAATTAGCCGGGCATGGTGGCCTGCGCCTGTAGTCCCAGCTACTTGGAAGGCTGAGGCAGGAGTATCACTTGAGCGCCCAGGTGTCAGAGGTTGCAGTGAGCCAGAATTGCCACTGCACTCCAGCCTTGGTCACAGATTGAGACCCTGTCACAAAAAAAAAAAAAAAAAAAGAAGGTTCTACTTTAGCTTCTGGGATTTTTTTTTAAAAAAGAGGGTTTATTATACTAAAGCCACTAAAATCTTGATTCTAAAATATAGATTAATTACCTTATTAACATGAAATTTGCCTTGGAATTCAAATTTAATGATTCAAAATATTTCCCTATGTACATTTTTCCATGTGGTGTTTCTCTAGGAGCTGAATATAATATTTAATGTGATACTAATAATAGTTAACAGAGGCTGCTTACTTATAGTCCAGCACTGTTCTCAGCACTTCACACATACTAACTTTTAAAATCCTTACAACAGTACTACGAAGTATGTATTATTATTATCATCCCATTTTACAGATAAGGAAACTATAGCACAAAGAAGTTATGTAACTTGGTCAGGGTTATAGCTATTAATAAACAGAGCCAAGATTCATACCAGACAGCTCCATTCCAAAGCCCATATTGTCAACTACTAGGAAAATCAGCTCACTATTATAGTGACTGTACACTGATTTGAGCCACAAAACCCAACCTCAAGATTTCATTTAATATCTGTGTCACATTATCTGATGGTTTGCTCAAGTGTTAGTTTTTAGGTTTTTAATCACAGGCAAGTATGTAATAATTTTTACCTGGGAAAATCCTATTTCACTTGAATATAAATTTGTTGTTTTCAAAATAGAAGACATCTAGTTCATTCATTAACAAAATGCTGTGAGAAACCATATAAGATTATGTTCATTTATGATTTCCTATTGGCTTTATTTTGTATGTGATGTAAGAAGTGATTAATGAGTCATTCCAGAAATGAAGTGTCTTTATATCAAAGATGAATGTTTAAAAATACTGGAAACGAAAGTCTTAAGGCCAGCATTAGGCCATACAGGATGAATATACCTAGGCACATAGCTCCTATTTGTTGTACAGCGGCAGGTACTTCCATTAAAACTTACCATTAAAACTTGTCTTCAACATCACTAATTGTTTCATTTTTCTTTTGCCTTCCTGGGATTATTTTTTCCACAGTGGTCGGGCAACTAAGTGTTTTACCCTTTCTTTCCTCTCAAATATTCTCTTCCCTTGTCTACTTCTCTGGCCACCCTTTCATAAGCAGGATAGTGAATGAGCAAAACCAAACACAGATGTATGTTGTAAAAAAGCTTATAATTTCATTGTTGAGGAAGTCTGTCATACAACAAATATAAACCTGCAACCATGATAAAGGACTTCGAAGAAGAGATATAAGGTGTTATGAGGTTCTAAAATGAAAGAGTTAAGGAAGGCTTCCTGACCAAGTGCTATTTGAACTGAAAGATGAGTGGGTATTAATCTAAGAAAAAGAGGGATAGAAGGGCCCAGCAGACACAGAGAGCAGCATGTGAAGAAGTATGCTCGGAGAGAGCATGGTAAGGATGAGGTATGGTCAAAGTGAGAGAAGGCTGAAGTGGAGAAACTGAGGAACACAGTGTGAGGTGAGGCTGCAGAGGCAGAAGGATCTGACCGAGAGTGACCTCATAGACCACAGTTAGGAGTTTTGTCCATCCCAAGGGAAAGCCATGTTTGTTTCTGGCACATTCAGTGTTGTTTTAGATGATGTATAATGCTCACTCTTACCACAACCATCACCATCAAGGGTGTCTAGACTACTCTGTATATTTCTAACTGTAAAAACAACAAACATACAAGTTTCTGACCCCAAAACAACAGTGTCCCATTATAAGTTACTAATAGAGCAACACTGAATTGCTCTTACCTGGGACTGTGAAAGTTTTAGGAATCCTAAAGTACAGTCAAGTTTCTGAATTCCTGAATGACATTAGCAGTGCCTTTCGTCTCATTTTCTTAAAGTTGATAAGCTACATTGGTTGCTATTGAATTTAGAGATACTATAGTTAATAGATTATCTGTTATAGTGTGGACAAATTGAGCAATAAATATATTTTTAAGGATACTGATTTTATACATCCTTAAAAAATTAAAGTGTAACTTAAATAAAGTTTACAAGTCTTAAATGTGCAGGCCAATGACTTTGTACATACATAACCATTGCCCAGAACAGATAGAGAACATTTCCAGCACCTAGCAGGTTTCCTGGTATCTCCTCCTAGATTATGATTCATCCCTCAAAGGTAACTGCTATTCTGACATCTAATACCATAAATTAGTTTTGCTGTTTTGGACTACATATAAACGGAATTATACACTATATAATCTTTTGATGTGGCTTCATTTGCTCAAGATTGTCTGAGATACATCCATATTGTTGCTTACAATGTCAGTTTTCCTTTCATTGCCGTATAGTCTTCTGTTGTATGAGCCTACCACAATTTATCCTTTCTACTGTTGATATTGTTTGAGGTGTTTTTGTTTGTTTGTTTGTTCGTTTGTTTGATTTTTAGAGTTGGGGTTTTGCTATGTTCTGTAGGCTGGACTCAAACTCCTGGGTTCCAGTAATCTTCCAGCCTCAGCTTCCTAAATAGCTGGGATTACAGGCATGTGCCACTGTGCCTGGCTTCTTTTGAGTTTTAAGTGATGAAATTCTTGATAAAATTAAAGTTTACCTTGTTTGGGGATTATTTTGTTTTGTTTTGGCCTTTCTTTTGTTTGTAATTAAGTAACCTATTGTTTTGTGGTATAAAATTATCCCAGATTCTCAGGTTTTGTAAGTATTAGTGAACCACGGAAATTTCCATTTTGTAGGTCAAAACTGGTTGAATGGTATTTGCCACCAGGCTTTGTTTCTGGTGATCTTCCTTTTCAGCCAGAGACCTCTTGATTCCTATGAAACCTCACCTACTCACAGTTGTGAAACACTGCATTTAGAGGGCAGTGTCTCCCTTTTCCCCCATTCTTTTAGATGAGGAACGGGAGGTAACGATGGACTTAATGATTAGGCTAATATTACAGAGAGGTCATTGAAAGAGCTGGGAATGGATGTCAGGAATCTTGGTATCCTTTTCTCCTGTTCTAGATATATACTAAGCTTTCATTGTGTTGATTACTTTGGTATATTCATCTACTTGTGAATAGACTGTCAATTTTAATGTACAAATATTTACCCTTTTTTCTTCAGTATGGGTAATCAGGTTGGGGTGAACAATTTTCTTCTATCAACAAATTATTTTCATTCTTCCCAATATGATAGTGAAACAGATTGCTTGTAGCTTAAGTTTTACATTATATAATGAGTACCTTTAATGTGAGAAAATATGCTTTTTAATTACCTTATTACTTTTCTGGGAAAACACGAGCTACACTTCCTCCAAATAAGTCTGTTTATGCTTTAAAAATGTTTTAATTCAGGAAAAAGGATTCAGAGAATAGGATGTTCTTTAATAAATTGTGTCAAATGTTATCAGCCTCTTAGTGTTCTTAACCATGTTCAGGTCTTTTTTTCACAAAATAAGCAATAGTATTTAAAATTACAAAAACAATCTCTTAGGTTCTATGATACTTTTTAATGCAACTGAAATACAATTACTGTGACTCTGAGAAATGAATTTATATCCATCTTGTATGAGTTGTGTGAAGGACCATGTGCTCCACTTTTATGAACTTCATGGGCTATCCAGCATTTAACAGGATTGGCATTTGTAAAATAACTAGACCATTAACACTCCCAAACTTTATTCAGCAGCAGATGGAGCTTCAAAAGGACTCGTGCTAAGCTTTTCAGGAGATAATTAGCAAGTGAACTGAAATGCTGTAATTCCTGGGGAGAGAGGTTCTGTCAGGCATATACTGTCATCCCGCTGCCATACTTCACTCCTCCTCGAGTATTTTGACAGGTGGTTTAGGACGGTTTTTTTTTTTAGTATCTGGAAATGTATAGGCTGTTTCAGATGGCACGAAATTGTGAATTTGGAGGTCACTGATGCTTTATGACCACAGAACTCGGCAACTCCAGTTCTTTGGTCATAAAGCTGCTAGGTCTTAGAAAACAAAGAGCATTTTTACATTGAATATTCATTTTTAAAAAATCAGTACAACATATATGTAGTGAATCATCAAAACAGAAATTCTTCAGAGTAGTCTTATTTATTGATTTTAATTTGATGTAACTCCGTCCCTTTTTATTACGAAAATCAGTTGAGAAAACAATCTGATTTTCTCCCTTTGCCTTTCCGGCTACGGCTAGTCCTTACTCTACTTCCTAGGCTTATGCTTATTTGAGTTCTTTTATACTTTCCCTTTTCATGTCTATTTCGGTTTTTGTTCATTATCACCCCTTGTCTCCTAAGCTTGTGGTGTCGTTTTAGGGAAACCGACATTATTCCTGGGCATTCGGGCTACAGCCTGTGTCCTGGTTTTCCTTAGCCTGTTTGCCTGGCCTGCCCAGTTCTGACTGTTAGTTGACGACACACAAATTTATGAAACTCCTGAGAAACTGGGAGCTACCAGCCTATGATTAATGTTTTGTTTATTTGTCCAGTTAATTTTGTCTTGTTGAGTCTTTAACATTTATTGAACAGCTTCTTTGTACAACCTGTCTTCAACATGACCCTATGTGATCTAGCTCCTACCTCTAAACTTACACATATAATAGACATTTAGCCCCTGCAAGCTTTAGAGATAGCTTTGTTATCTTTTAGACATCAGAATTCAGATTTCACATGCTGGCCTAGAAAATGTAAGTAAAAGGACTTTTAAATACCTTACATATTTGGATTATTATCTACTTTAGTACTGTCTCTTTACTCTAGACTCTATGACTCCTGGAATTTAAAAACTAATATTTAGATCAGAGTTTCTCTACCTTGATACTATTGACATTTTGAAATGAATATTTCTTTGTTGTAGGAGATTGTCCTATGCAGTGAAGGATGTTTAGCAGCATCCCTGGCCTTTACCTGCTAGATGCCAGTAGCCTCTCCCCGGTTGTGACAACCAAAATGTCTCTAGACATTGCCAAATGTTCCCTGGAGGGTAAAATCGCCTTCTGTTAGGAACCACTGGTTTAGGGTCTTTCCTGTTATATTTTCATGTCTGCAGTAATCTCATATTTGAATGGTCCCAGAACTACAAGTACATATTTATTCAGAATGGTTGCAGAATTGCATGTTTAGGGTCATTCATTTATTCACTTGTTTATTCAGTGAACATTTATTGACAGGAGTTGAGCTGGAGTCTTGTTCAGATGAGATGTATTTAAGACAAACTTCATCAGTTTAGAATTGAGTCTGAAAACCCTCAAGGGTCTACTTGAAATCTCCTCATCTGTTTCTCTTCACATTGCTTTCTTCCTCATCTAAACTATAGGTTATTGTTTGAGTCTTTTGTTTTTCATGTTTAATTATATACAACATTGTATTATTGTTGAAATCTTCATAGAAATGCCTTGTCTTCAGAGCCAGATTAGAAGCTGGTTATTGGTAAGAACAATGTGTTTATACAGTTGTTTATCAGAGCCATGTGCTGAATCAGTAGTATTCTACGTATTTGTTGAATGAAAGAATGCAGATCAACACAGTTTTAAAGTAGTGAATGCTCAACAGTATATCCAGTGATTCTTACCTGTTTAAAGCACTTGCGAGTTCTAAAAACAAAGCTGCCCTCTCCTTCACTTGCCATTTGATATATTAATACCTTTGTAATAGTTCTTTAAATTTGCTTTTCTAACTTGCCAAGAAAAAAAGGCTTGTTTTTCTTTAACCTTAACATACAGCTTAGAATTATGAAGAAAATCAACCAGTTATTCATACTAAGTGACATTACTAAAACATGCTTGAAGATGCCATCTGTTTAATCTTAACAGTGGTTTTTGAGTAAATAAGGCTTTGTTGTTGTTCTTTTACTGATAGCTACCTTTTATATATTTCCAAATTTCAAGATTGTATTACCTTTGAAAGTGCCTTGGATTTTACTTTATTACTGAAAATACTATTTTAAAATATATGCTTTCTATGAAATCCACATTCTTTTTTTTTTTTTTTTCTTTGAGATAAGGTCTCACTCTGTCACCGAGGCTGGAGTGCAGTGGCACAATCTCAGCTCACAACAACCTCTGCCTCCCAGGTTCAGGCAATTCTCATGCCTCAGCCTCCTGAGTAGCTGGGATTACAGGGGCCCACCACTATACCTGGCTAATTTTTGTATTTTTTGGTAGAGACAGGGTTTCACCATGTTGGCCAGGCTGGTCTCCAGCTCCTGCTCAAGTGATCTGCCTGCCTTGACCTCCCAAAATGCTGAGATTACAGGCGTGAGCCACTGTGCCTAGCCGAAATCTACATTCTTTTGTAGAATCAAGTATTCAGATTATTTATGTATATTATCTCACATATTAGACTTTGATCATCTAAATGGTTTGAAGCTAAGGATTTTTATAGATAATTTAACTTATATATACTCATAGAGAAGAGAAATGACAGTATCTAGCATGACCAAAGTTTAGTAATATATCCTTTTAATATTTAAAATGTTTTTTTCTAATGATTATTGCAAAATTACGAAGTTTAAAGAATCTTCAGAATACCTTTCCTAATAAACAATTTGCTTCATCTGGTATCTTTGTTATTTCTTTTGTTTTGATTTTGTTTATTAACACAGAAAAGCTGCACTGGCCTGAGCAAGAACTTGCTAAGAAGTCTATTCTAAATGCAGAAGATTCATTCATCATTGACAGCAAAAGAAGCATTTCACATTTATCCTCGGGAGTGCTAAAAGACATTTTCACAACTGGAACCAGTAGTTACAATGTCCTACTACAGAGCAAGGAGGAAAAAAAGTATCACTCACAAAAACAGTCTTCCTCCACCTACTCCAAAAGATGTAGAAAAACCAGCAAATCTCCTAACACTTCTCGTAGCAAAGATCCTCGCAGGATGAAAGCCCTGGTGCCGGTGACAAGCAGTGGTACTTGGTACTGCCTGGAGAGGCGGCCTGCTGTTTTTGTCACTAGTTCAGTGTCGAGTCCTGTAAAGTTTACACATGATATCTCTGTTACAGGGAATGGCATAGTACTGCCACCTAAACCCAAAAGCAAGGTCAAGTGGTGCCATTTCTCCACTCTTCCAAAGACAAAGCCACAGCCTCAGCTGTCTAGAAGCTTTGAAAAGGGAGATGACTTTTCTGGGAAGAAATTTTGTATACTGACTGCTATAAAACCCACCAACTTAGAGAAAGAAAAACTGAGATTCTTCAAATCTGACTATACCTACAATCCTCAGTTTGAGTATGCCAATCCTGCTCTGCCAAGCGTATTAGCTAAGCACAGCCACGCATCTGACCGATTTCTTAAGCAGGTAAAATGCCATTTCAGTAGTGGTAGTTCATTTATATGTACTAAAACAATTATCTATGATCTTACAAGCAAAAACAAAGACATTTTAAAATATTCAAATTATTTCTTTTTTTTTTTAATTCAAATTATTTCTATGTTATGGTTAATTCCCACTCAGGACATGTAAATATGTGACAAGATGAGTATCACCTGTATATAAACTACATTGCTGTCATCAAAATTTATAATCTGTTACATAGACTGTCTGTGACAGGAAGCAATTATATTAGGAAAACAGCTTCAGATTCTGGTTCTAAGCTTTCATGTGGGAGTTACAAACTTGTGGCCAATTTAGCCGCCTACAGACAAGTGTTCGGTAGCCCACATTACATTTTTGTTTTCTAATTGATTTATTTTTTGTTTTTTGTTTTTTTTTTGAGACAGATTCTTGCTCCATGCCCAGGCTGGAGTGTAGTGGCGCGATCTTGGCTCACTGCAATCTCTGCCTCCTGGGTTCAAGCGATTCTTGTGTCTCAGCTTCCCCAGTAGCTGGGACTACAGGCCCCCCCCACCATGCCCAGCTGATTTTTAGTGAAGATGGGGTTTCACCATTTTGGCCAGGCTAGTCTCGAACTCCTGACCTCCAGTGATTTGCCCGCCTTGGCCTCTCAAAGTGTTAGGGTTACAGGTGTGAGCCACCATCCCTGGCCTCTAATTGATTTTTTAATGTCTTAGATGGAGCATACAATCCCTGGTTCTTCCTATTGTGTTAAATTCCTGGCTTGCTTAGGCTCCAGTAAGTAGTTTGGGAACTGAAGCTTGATTCTTGTCCATGAGCTTGTTAATGCTTCACTGAAATTGTTAATCATCATCAAATAAATATTTAAGCACTTATTCAAAGATTAAAAAAATGGGATTTTCAAAATTATCTTCAAGGTTAGCAAATTATGATGTGAATGATATGAATAATACTTTTAAATTGCTCACTTTAAGTCCTTAGCAGTTTTGTGTTTTACAGGACTATAATACATTTCAGAACCTCATTTAAGTATTTAAGAAGAAATTAGCTAATGTTTATCTGCAGGGCATAGTTTTGAGATCATAAAGGCCGACAATATTTGGTCAAATTAACTTTGTTCAGGTTCTTATATTAGCTTCAATGTGGCATTGTCAGTGACTGAAAGTCTGTTTATAGGATAGGTAAAACTGCATGGTTCCTCTCTCCTGTGGTGCATGTCCTATTTTACCATTTTTGCTGATAATAGTTATTTGGTCTCGCAGCCAGCAGATATTTGGCTGTTTATTATAGATAACATGGAATCTGGCCAGTCTTTTGAAGCCATTATGTAAAACTTAATTATATAAAGCCATTATGTAAAGATTAAAATAATTTTAATCATGGTATTTACTTTCCTTTATTAGGATCTCTTTTTACTGCTTCTGTATTCTTTAATGAGTATTTGCTTTTTTAAAAATGTGCTGAGATTGTGCTAAAAATTGTGATCCAAATTGATAAGTTACTAATATAAAGTGGCACTTTTGGATGGGAGAAGGCAGCATTAACATAGTGATTTCATAATCCACTCTTAGGCTGTACTACTTCCACATTGTAAAATGGAGTGAAGAAAATACCTGCTTTAGATTATTTTGATAATTAAATGAGAGGATGCTTAGTGCATATATTGCAGTTATCATCGTGCTTGACACCTAAAAAGCACTAATAAAGAGGTTAGCTGTTATTTTTATTTCTATTTGGCAGTCATTCTTACATGTGATTTTTTTTATGTGTGGAAATTGCAGTTGATTGAACAAGGCTTTCACAAATATAAATTTTACAATGATAAAAATCCTATTTGCATTTTCCCCCTGATGCTGAAAGAGATGACTGAGAGTTATTTACCAGTATTCCTTAATTTGGAGACCTACCCCACCCCTGCTTGTTGGGAAGGATATTTCCAACCATTAGATTAAAAATAATGCTCTTTGATTTCTCTGGAAGGCAGTTTGGGAATCAGCAGCCCCACAGATTGAGAATTGACACTGCTTGGCCTGTGGCTTTGCAATTTTAATTTTGACCCAATTCCAGCTTTAGGAGATTAATCCTACACTTGAATTACTTGAGACTTCTAAGCAGCACTAGCAATCTTAGCTGACTTGTACTGCAGATGCCACCATTTGGGAGCACATTCTCAATAAATGCCAAGTCTACTGTTTAAAACACTTTAATCAAAGAAATACATGGTACAAGACCTCTGGGAAAATATACTTAAATTCTTATTCAGCTACCAAATGAATAATGACATGATATCATACATCCATCTCCTCCTTAGATAAAGCAGCAGCTTCAAGGCTAGTCTCCGGGACTCAGAAACATGATACCCAAAGGGGCCAGAATGGCCAAGTAGCCCCATGGTCTCTGGATGCTACCTTTGAGGCCTTGCCAACCCCCAGCTGACAGTCTCTTGAGTTTCACAATCTGGATCTTGGTAAAGCAGGCAATCTGTATTGTTTTGCAGGATGATTGTGGTCCTCTTAAGTGCACAGATTGGTGGAATGATGCTAGACTTTCACGCACAGATAAGTCTGCCACAGTGGAACCGAGGCAGTGCTCATGCTCTGTTTTCCCAATCATTGTCAAGGAGTTCCAGGCCTCAACTTTTTTGGTCTAGGCAGTGTGTCCCTAGGGAGGCACTGAGACCACTGAGGTGATGCAGGGCAAACAGCAGGCTGCAGGACTAGAATATAATTCTAGGTGGAGCCTGCTGAGCCCTGCCTTGCTGCATGTTGGCAGCCATGGTAGCCTCAGCTTCCTGACTATCTTAGATATGTTTAAACTTGACAGAAACTCAAGATGTCTGTTTTCTGTGGCTTTGGACCTTTGCAGAAAACAGCACAGTGCTTCATAGGTGCTAAGGAAGGGATCTGGAATTAGAGCCTGCAGAAAGCTACTTGGGGTCAGGTGCATTCTCACCAGTGGGTCAGAAGTAGATTCTTAGTGTGCTCTTGAGCAGTAAATAGTTCAGATAAAATCTGTATGTTATCTTAAGTTCATGTGAGTTTTGTATCATACTTCATATTGTATCTTTATTCTAATAAAGAAAAATGTAAATTGCCTATCTTCAAGTAAAATGGATACTTCAAGAATAAACAAGGAGGCTGGGTATGGTGGCTGACACCTGTAATCCCAGCACTTTGGGAATCTGAGGCAGGTGGATCACTTGAGGTCAGGAGTTCGAGACTAGCCTGACCAACATGGTGAAACCCCGTCTCTGCTAAAAATACAAAAAATTAGCCGGGCGTGGTGGCAGGCGCCTGTAGTCCCAGCTACTTGGGAGGCTAAGGCAGGAGAATTGCTTGAACCTGGGAGGTGGAGGTTACAGTGAGTCGAGATCGCGCCACTGCACTCCAGTCTTGGTGATAGAGTGAGACACTGTCTCAAAAAAAAAAAGGCATAAACAGGGAGTATCTTCCCATGATTCTGGCAACCTCTCTATTCTCCTGCAAGGTGAAAAACAGAAAGTACTAAAGCTTTGCCAACAAAAAACAACTGCTTTCTTGAACAGCTTACTCTCAGAAGATTACATAGTAACAATTACCTGTAAAATTAGCCCTGTCACCAAAAGACCTGTAGCATCTTTTTTTGAGACAGGGTCTTGCTGTGTTGCCCAGGTTGGAGAGCAGGGGTGTGATCATAACTCACTGTAGCCTTGAACTGCTGGACGCAAACGATCCTCCCCATTTAGCCCCCAGCGCCAGTAGCTGGGACTCACAGGCACGCACCAGCACAGAGGCTAGTTTTTTAAAACTTTTTGGATAGGTGGGAGGTCTCACTATGCTGCCTTGGCTGGTCTCTTGAGCTCAAGTGATCCTCTGGCTTTGGCCTCCCGAAGTGCTAAGATTACAGGAGCCACTGCGCCCGGCCTGACCTGTAGCATCTTGAGGGGAAAGCACAGACAAGGCACCTTCTGGGAAGAAAAACAGCAATCAGGAAAAGCCAGAACACTGTATGTCTCAGAGCAAGCAGAGGTTCTGATCAGAACAAAGTCATAATTTACTAACTACAAACATACTTTTTTTTTTTTTTGAGATGGAGTCGCACTCTGTTGCCCAGGCTAGAGTGGCCATATCCACTCACTGCAGCCTCTACCTCCCAGGTTCAACCAATTCTCCTGCCTCAGCCTCCCGAGTAGCTGGGATTAGAGGCACCTGCCACAACGCCAGGATAATTTTTGTATTTTTAGTAGAGGTGATGTTTCACCTCATCTGTTGGCCAGGCTGGTCTTGAACTCCTGGCCTCAAGTGATCCACCCACCTCGACCTCCCGAAGTATTGCGATTATAGGTGTGAGCCATTGTGCCCGGCCCATACTTTCTAATAATACAACATTAAGAGTGATATATCTTGATTTATTATAAAAAGACATATCCATGAGTGAAGCAGTATGGTTGCAGTAAGAGTTGAAAAAGAAAGCTGCAAGAAAAGTTCATTTTTTTTTTTTAAGATGGAATCTCACTCTGTTGCCCAGGCTGGAGTTCAGTGGGGCAATTTTAGCTCATTGCAACCTCCGCTGCCTAAGTTCAAGTGATTCTCCTGCTTGGTCCTCCCAAGTAGCTGGGATTACAGGCATGCGCTGCCATGCCCTGCTATTTTTTTGTATTTTTAGTAGAGACAGGGTTTCGCCATGTTGGCCAGGCTGGTCTCAAACTCCTGACCTCAGGTGATCCACCCTCCTCAGCCTCCTAAAGTGCTGGGATTATAGGCATGAGCCACTGCGCCCGGCAAAAAGTTTATTTTTCAAAAAGTGTTCGATGTTTCTCAAAAAAGGCATTTTCATCACAACCATATAATTTAAGAGTTAGCGTATCATTTGATATTGATAGATGTCTATTTGAGTGGAAAAACTATTCTCCTTGTGTTATTGTAACTTAATTTTTTTTTTTTTTTTAAAAACAGAATCTCCCTTTGTCACCCAGGCTGGAGTACAGTGGTGCGAACATGGCTCACTGCAGCCTTGACCTCCTG